ACGGTCACAGAAGGTGCTTATAAACAGGACTTAAGCGTCCTCTACTAGCTATATCAATTAACTTGATAGATAATTCCAAATGTGATCTAACCATGCCTTTTATTTGATTTAAATCTACTTATGCCATTTGAGTAGGCTTTATGTACTCACTTGCTCTTCGTCCATTCTCCATCACGCCTCCCTCAAGGATTACCAGTAAAGGTTCCGCTTGGGATGTGTCTTCGGGCGAGGGGCCTGTGTGTTGGAATAAGGATGGGGAGCTAGAGTTGGGGTCAGTGGTAATCTTGAGGGTTAGGGTTCAGCTTTATAAGTGGGTTAAGGATTAGGGTGCAGTCTATAAACGTTGTCAATTTCACCACGATAGTCAGAGTTAACGGTTGACTCTTCACTATTGCTCCCTTAGTGTCAACGCCCATCACATAGAAGAATCAGTGTGCCTGAAATAGCTAAACAGTGTCCATGGTTTTCATTCGTTCAGATCATGTACAGCTCCTGCATTTTTGTCGTACAAATGTCATTGTCGCCTTTTTACACTTTTGTTGTATTTGAACAAGCTACAGACTTAATTTTTTAAAGTCTTTAGCGTTCAGAAAACAGTTATCTGTCACTTTCATTTGCCTCACGGTATAAGCACCTATTACCCTCAACCGTGCATTACAGGAAACGCGTCCTCCCACATACCCCATCACAATGTTTACTACGTTATGCTGAGATGAGAGATTTCGTGGTGTTCGTCGCGCTTGTAACGGTTTACCTGGAGTTTGCACAGATGGGCAACAAATTTATCTTTGAATTTGCGTAAGATTTTTACCTGCTGTCGCACCTCCTAAGATAAAAACGTGTCCGTCGTTTAGGGCTCATCATATACATTAAGTGGCGTACATAGTTGAGCTGGCTTTTCACAACTTCTTAAACATCCCAGCCCCTCAAAAATTTCCACAGAGTAGTTCGTAGGTACACTACCACACTTTCTAGAGCCTTCATTCTGCTTAGCGTAGACCCAACTTAGAGCGCTTTACTACAGCCGCAAAGATTTATTTGGCTTCTAAGGAATTGGTGTCAACCATTCTTACCGTTTTATGCAGTAAAAGCCACTGAGGCTCAAGTAACGCCTGTGTTGAAATGTTCTTCATTAATACACGCATACATGAGCCGTAGTAAACGATTTCGGAAATACAAACCGATCATGAATAACGGGCGACAGCGTGTTGTTTTAATTTATCTCCAAGGAGTATTTGATATAAAAAAACTACCAGAGTAGACCAACATAGCCATATAATTGAAGAGACTGTGATTTTATGTTAGCACAGAATTCACAGAAAATAAATGAGGATCAGATCCATTGCAGAACTCAGTGAACTGAATCTTAAGCAAGACGGCTATGACAGGCTGTAGAATGAGGGAACGTTGAGATCACTGCTTCATTCTGAGGTAATTCCTTTGCCTTCGGCAGGAGTGTACCGACTGGCCTGTATCAGTGCACCGACTTATTCTGACTTGACAGAGATGGCATATGGGGCAAAAGGGTGTCCGTAGATACCAGACTTTTATGCATGCTGATGAGCCGTTCGGAATTTCGACAGTTATTTCGTCTAAACTCCAAGTCGTGCTGTTGTTCGCGGGTCAGCCGTTTTTTGCAGGAACAGCAGCAGAGATTGTAGGCTGGATCGGGGATTTCGGGGCATTCATTGGCGTTATTTTCAAGGTTGGGGTCGTTGGGTGCCGAGTTTGGGAGCTCCTTGCCCTGAGCGCAGCCCATCCTGTTGCCTGCCTGGATAACTGTGGCCTTTCAAATGGCTACACGTGACTGTGCATATCGATTTTTGTAGGGATTCCTTAGACAGGATTTTCCAAAACCCAGATGGGGCCTGGGAGCCACAGCGAAACCTTTGATATTCAAAAGCAGTCAGAATACAAGCAGCACCAAAGTCCCTCGGCAGAGGACCACATCAGCTACTGAGCTTTTTTATTCATAATCAGCTTTTTCTTACCAAAGAAAACAAATCCTCTTATTCTGTGTGAAACCTATTCATTTTCTTTCCCAGCATACCTCCACAAAAGAATTCGGCTTATTTTTTATTTATGTCGGATTAGTGATATATGTGTAAGTGAGAGTGCTTTATATAACAAGGGATTATTGGAAAAGTATACCGTAGTAAAAACACGAATTTTCAGGCTAAATTTCGACGCTTGTTATGTCTGAATCACAAGTGGGGCCTCGAAGATAAAATATGCCCAGGTCCCAATGCCAGAATAAAATTTAATTCTATTCTCTACTACGAAAATACACGTTGTTTCCGCTCATCGACGTGCTTGGCTTCGAGTTAACTAAAAATATTAATGTCGGTCGCTGTCCCTAAATGACATTGCCTAGACATCTCAGAGGGCTGCCGAA